AGAAGAAATTCCACCTTGATGCTGTTGAGTTTTTCCATAGGGTTGTGATGCTAGTGTTTTGGGTCGGTATATAATTGCTATTAAAAAGGGAGAAGAAAAATGAAAATGCGATACGGCCTGTGCCACTCCCCTCACCCGGACATGAAAGATAGGGGAGATTATGAAGGAGTGTTATAATTGCAGACCCAGCCAAAAGATTTGTCTCCGATGCCTCATTATTTTTAGGGACTCTTGCACATAATAAATTTGGCAAGAATGGTTGTGAGGGAGGGGAATAGTGGGAAGACTACTTACAAGGAGATAGAGATTTGCATGGCTAAGAGCCAAAATTGAGTGAGGAAGATGAACAAATCACCATGTCACGGTTCCTTGGGGGTCTAAATAGTGATATTGCTTATGCTTTAGAGATGTATCGCTATGATACCATGGAAGAGATGGTACATATAGCCATGAAGATTGAGAGGCAGAAAAAGGGGAGATCCACCAACAAGTAGTCTAACAACACACGGGGATCTAAATGTTCCAAGGGAGGTGAAAAGAATGATTTTAGAGGTTCTAATTCCCAAAGGGCAGATTTAGCTTTAAGAGGTAAAGAGGTTGTCCAAACTTCATTGAAGGGCAACAAAGGTATTTCTAACTCTACAACCCCTTCTAGAGAAGTTAAATATTTTAAATGTTTATGAAAAAGGCATACTGCATCTCTATGTCCTAATAAAAAGAGTTATGATTGCTAAAGATGATGGGAATATTAGTTCTGAATTTAAATGTAGTGATTATGATGATATGCCTCATTTGATTGATGTTAATGATGATGATTCGGATAATTTAATACTTGCTGAACATGGTGAATCTTTAGTTGCTAAGCGTGCTTTGAATATGCATGTTAAGTAGGAAAGCCTTGAGCAACGTGAGAACATATTTCACACTAGATGTTTGATTAATGGAAAAGTGTGTACTCTATTGATGGGGGTAGTTACACACTAATGTTGCTAGTGTAAGTATGGTGAACAAACTGAATTTGGCATGTCTTAAACATCCTAAACCTTATAAGTTGCAATGGTTAAACCTTATAAGTTGCAATGGTTAAATGATTGTGGGGAGGTGAAGGTGACACGACAAGTACTTGTGCCATTTTCTATTGGGTGGTACAAAGATGAGATTTTATGTGATATAGTACCTATGCAGGCAGGCCATTTGTTATTGGATAGACCATGGCAGTATGATAAGAGAGCACTTCATGATGGGTTCCACAACCGGTATTCTTTCGTTCATAAGGGTAAAAAGGTGGTTTTTGTACCATTATCAGCTCAAGAAGTGTATGCTGATCAAAAGAAGCTATTTGAGAGAGAGAGAGAGAGAGAGAGAGAGAGAGAGAGAGAGAGGCTACGACCTTGAGGAAAAATGGGAATGAAGCTTCGGGATCGAGAGAACAAAATAGTGAAAAGAGTGAGGTTGGGGAGAAAGAGGCCACAAAAATCACAAAACAAATTAATATCCCAATTGTGAGTGAAAAACTGAGAGGGGGAAGAAAAAAACAAACTTTTAATGCAAGAGTCAGAGAGGTTAAGTGCGCTATCGCCTTAGAGCATCCCATGTTGCTTCTTAGGTATAAAGAGGTTTTATTTGCTGACACTGACATTAACCTTGACAGTTTGCCTTCTATGTTTGTTTCTATGTTGTAGGATCTATGTTTGTTTCTATGTTGTAGGAGTTTTCTCATGTCTTTCCTGATGAGTTACCTAGTGGTTTGCCACCTTTGAGAGGAATAGAACATCAGATTGACTTCATTCTTGGCTTTACCATTCCAAACAGACTAGCCTATAGAAGCAATCCGATGGAGACAAAGGAGTTGCAAAGGCAAGTCAATGAGCTTATGGAGAAAGGTTTGATGAGAGAGAGCATGAGCCCTTGTGCCGTTCCAGTGCTTCTAGTACCCAAAAAGGATGGTACATGGCGAATGTGTGTTGATTGCAGGACGGTCAGCAAAATCACTGTAAATTATAGCACCCTATCCCTAGACTTGATGACATGTTAGATGAATTACATGGGGCAACTTACTTTACTAAAATTGATTTAATGAGTGGTTGTCATCAGATTAGGATGCATCCAGGTGATGAATGGAAAACTGCTTTTAAAACTAAGTATGATTTGTATGAATGGTTAGTAATGCCTTTTGGATTGTTTAATGCACCTAGTACATTTATGAGGCTTATGAACCATGTTTTGCATGCCTTCTTAGGGAAATTTGTAGTTGTATACTTTGATGATATACTCATTTATAGCAAGTCTCTTGATGATCATATTGAGCATGTTATGCTAGTATTATAAACATTAAGGTCTGAACAATTGTATGCTAAGCTTAAAAAGTGCATTTTGTATAGATAGACTTGTGTTTCTTGGATTTGTTGTGAGTGCATAGGGTATTGAGGTAGATGAGGAGAAGGTGAAAGCTAAAGAATGGCCAACTCCCAAATCAGTTTCGAAAGTTAGAAGTTTTCATGGGTTGGCAAGTTCTTATAGAAGATTTGTACAAAATTTCTCTTCAATTGCAGCACCACTCACAGGGATAATCAAGAAGGAAGTTAGGTTCAAGTGGAGAGAAGAACAGCAGAAAGCGATTGACACGCTTAAAGGGAAGTTGACATCCGCTCCAAGGGAAGTTGACATCCGCTCCAAGGGAAGTTGACATCCGCTCCTATACTTTCTCTACCTAACTTTAAGAATACTTTTGAAATTGAGTGTGATGCTTATGGTGTAGGAATTGGGGCAGTCTTAATGCAAGAGAAGAAGCCAATTGCCTAGTTTAGTGAGAAGTTGAATGGAGCCCAACTCAATTATTCAACCTATGATGAGGAGCTATATGCCTTGGTGAGAACTCTAGATGTTTGGCAACACTACTTACTATCTAAGGAGTTTGTCATCTACACTAATCATGAGGCCCTAAAACACTTGAGGGGTCAAGGTAAACTCAATAAAAGACATGGTAAATGGGTTGAATTTATTGAATAATTTCCTTATGTGATTAAATACAAGCATGGTAAAGATAATGTTGTTGCTGATGCATTGTTAAGGAGGTATGTTCTAATTACTGCTCTTAGTTCTAAGTTGCTTAGATTTGAGTATGTTAAGGACTTGTATGTGACTGATTCTAATTTTAGCAATGTGTATGTGGCATGTGAGCATGGAGCATTTGATAGCATTTGATAAATTCTATAGACATGATGGATATTTGTTTAAGGGCAGCAAACTTTGTGTGCCTAAATGTTCTATGCGTGATTTGCTTGTGCTTGAATCTCTTTGGGGGGATTGATGGGGCATTTTGGGGTACATAACACTTATGATATGCTGAATGAACATTTTTATTAGCCTCATATAAACAATAATTTTTATTTTTCATTAAAACCACCAATGAAATAGTCATTTCGATAAAAAAAATTGTAAATTATTAAATGACTTTTTTATTAAGACAAACAATTCATTTGATGATTTTAGTGGAAATATGAGATGTGACAATTAGTCTGAAAAAAATATACAAGAGAACATTGATTTGTTAGGAATCCATTGTATTAGTAAATGGTTTCAATAAAAAATATTTATTTATTTAAAATATTTTTGTCACCAAAACATATATATTATTTGGTGCAATAAATATATAATTTAAGATCTTATATTAATATTGCACTCGCAAATGATACTTTTAAGAGACTCATGATCTCCAACCTTCTCGTGAGGTATGAGTTGGACTTGAATCTAGATTTGTTGATTAAATATCATTCTAAGAATTTCCATTGAAGCTTAAATTGAATGGATTATGAAAATATAATCACAACATACGTTTCAATTGGCCACCTTCGACTGAGAGGCATGTTAATATGATATTGTAATAATGCTAAAGGATAATATTATAATATAGATACCTAGAGTGCCTTGCACACAAAAAAAACAAGGATAATGTTGTAATGCACATAACTAGAGTGCATATAGTACAAAGAATTAAAAATTATTTATTTAATATATAGTACTCATACTAGCCCTAATTGCAGTGGATTAAAAGCTGAATTTGTTATGAATTTAAGATTTATTATACTACTTGAATTTCGAATTTTGAACTTGGCATAATAGTAATTTTCCATTTTTTCATTAAAAAATTTTTTGATATATTTTGTAGAAGTTGAAAATTTAATAGTAAAATGTTCATACTAATACGGATGGAATGATTGAATAGTTCAACTGATTTAAAACTTAGATGTAAATTTCTTTGTTTTTAAAGGGATAATGTTAATTTTGGTTCAACTAATTTAAAACTTAGATGTAAATTTCTTTGTTTTTAAAGGGATAATGTTAATTTTGGTTCAACTAATTTAAAACTTAGATGTAAATTTCTTTGTTTTTAAAGGGATAATGTTAATTTTGGTATGTTTTTAAAGGGATAATGTTAATTTTGGTTCAACTAATTTAAAACTTAGATGTAAATTTCTTTGTTTTTAAAGGGATAATGTTAATTTTGGTGCCGGTAATTTTTTTTTTTTTCTATTTTGGTGTCCGAACGGAAAATTGTAATAGTTGAATGTCTAAACTTATAATTTTTTTTAATTTAGTGTCTCATAATGATATGAACAATTGGAATATCTAATGACACTGATCGGGACACGCAAACACATATATATCCGCTTATGCAGATTGACGATTTTTACACGTAGGATGTCAACGCGTCAAAAGGGATAAAATGACCCATTTGCCCCACTTTAATATTGCTCCAAACACTAACACCAAAAAATCTAACCTAAATCGAGATTGAATGGAAAAGTCCAAAAAGCTTATACAACAAATAAGAAGAAACAAAATTCTTAAAATAAAACTATATTTTTTGTTTGTTTATATCATTAATCTTGCATTCCCTGACTTCTTTTCTTCTTTCTCTAATTGCTTTGTACTGCCCTGGACAAGCATTTCCATTTTCCTCTAAAGAGAAAAATAGAGACCAAATTATCAGAGTAGCCATGGCAGATGCAACTTTAACATCTCTGTGGGTATTTAGAGTGCCAATACTGTGCGTTTTAACCTCCATTATTGCATCAACTATAAGCCTTGAACCAAAATCATTATCAGGTCTTTTTATGTCAACAAATCTATCCACTTCTTTTATGCTAACATTTATTCTAGAAGGCACTGCATTAGGCGGCGCTCGTTACAATCCTACCACGACTGTCTCTTTATATGTCGTCGGGCTTAAACCAAGTGGATCCTTCTCTCTAACAACCATAGTAGTTCGATTTCCAGCTCAGGCAGCTGGCGGAGCTGTCGGCATCAAAACAATATTACAGGTGATGCCAAGAAAGTATAGGAATTTGCTAAAAGGTCCTTCTTTAAAAGTGGATTTACATACATGAGGATTAGCAGAAGGGATTTTGAGTTTTGGGCTTTGCTTTTCTTTGCTTTTGGTTATGGTCAAAGGACAAAGAACTTGTGGGTGAAGATTTGGATGGTGAAAGCAGCGACAGCTAGATTGGTGGTGGTCAGCGGTAAGTATACCGGGCGTTGTATGAATCCTGCAAATGCTTCTGGATGGGCTTATGTAAATAATAGCGTTGCTCTTTCAATCCCGATTTACATTAGATTTTTTGGGTTCTGGTGTTTGGAGCGATATTAAAATGGGGCAAATAGGTTATTTAGTCTTTTTGTTTTTTTTTTTCGGAAGAGATTTATTCTTTATTCTTTTTGTCTATACTGATATTCTACGTGTAAAAATTGTTAGTCTACATATCAAATTTAAATAAATTATAAATTTAAACGCTTATCACAATTTTAAAAAAATAACAATATTATTCAGTTTTATAAAGGTGAGGACGATATAATTAATTTTAGAAAAATATTAATTTTTCCTAATTAAAAAAAAAAAAAAGTTCCACTTATTTGAACCTTCCTCTTCTCCTCACACGCTTGCTTTCTTTGACATGCCTCCTTAACCCCAAAATTTCCAATGCTGTGTCTCCTCCTTCCTTTCCCTGCCCTTTCTAATTAATCCTTTTCTTTCAATCCAGACAATTTCGTCAAGATCTCAACACCCTCATCAAATTATCATCGATCAATCAATCAATTAAAATAGAATTCTAGGGTTTCTCATTTCTTCTCCTTTTCATCTAATTCCCAAAAAATTTCATATGCGACCTTCTGTTGATTGATCAAAAACCTTGCGATAACATGTACAGCAATTTCAAGGAGCAAGCAATAGAGTACGTGAGGCAAGCCGTACAAGAAGATAATGCCGGAAACTACTCGAAGGCCTTTCCTTTGTACATGAACGCTCTTGAGTACTTCAAGACTCACTTGAAGTATGAGAAGAACCCTAAGATTCGAGAAGCTATAACGCAGAAGTTCACCGAATATCTTCGGCGGGCCGAGGAGATCCGGGCTGTGCTCGATGAAGGTGGCCCAGGACCTGCTTCTAATGGAGATGCTGCTGTTGCTACTCGCGCTAAAACAAAGCCTAAAGATGGAGATGATGGTGAGGATCCGGAGCAGGCTAAATTGAGATCTGGATTGAATTCTGCAATTATTAGGGAAAAGCCTGACGTTAAGTGGAATGATGTGGCTGGACTTGAAAGCGCAAAACAGGCGTTACAGGAAGCTGTTATTTTACCTGTTAAGTTTCCCCAGTTCTTTACAGGTGATTTATTTTCTCCGTTTGTAGGGTTTAGGAATTTGTGCTTTTGTTTGCATGTTTTCTACTTGGTGTCTTGTTCCCTGGGGCAAATTGATTGGTGGCTGATGTTGGTTTGCATCGAGATTGTCATGTTCAAAGTATGTCAGACGAGAAATCATTTGTGCTATTTTATTTTTTAGTTGGTGGATAAACGAAATTCAGTTTTTGTTTGATGATAGTATTGTTGCATTGTGAGTTGGTGAATTCTCTATAAGCTGATTTAGAAGCTGAACTACGGATGAAAATTAGAATGAAGCTTAGCTAAATGGTGGCACCTATCACTTTGATGAGAAACAGTTTAGTTAGCTTCTATAAGCTGGTTAGTTTGTTTTTAAATTAAAATTGTCAAACTAGAAGTAATGAATTCTGATTAGAAGCTTAACATTGGATGCATTCTACTATGAATGAGGTTGTGGACATATGAACCTCTTTCCTAGGTCGAAGAGCGACTGTTTGCTCATGGAGGTATTGTGTTTTTCGGAATTTGGCTGTCCAAGGTTCTCCCTCGCTTGGTGAAAAATTCATTATAAAATCATAAAGGAGGATTCTTTTAGTTTTTATTTGCTATAATTTTGTTGTCCTTACATGCCACATGTGGTTACTCTTTGGAGATGGAATTCTGTAATTGTTGCAGCTATTCTATTCTTGACTCTGTTGTAGCATCTCGATGAACATTGTGAAGGCTTGATTCTGTTAACGCTGATGCTCCCTCTCACTCTTTTTTAGGGAAGAGGCGACCGTGGAGGGCTTTTCTTTTGTATGGGCCTCCTGGAACTGGAAAGTCTTACTTGGCCAAGGCAGTTGCGACTGAAGCAGACTCTACCTTCTATAGGTAAATATTCTATTTCTCAATTTTGTTCAGCTGCCAGAAGGTTATGTCTATCTGTTCTTAGTTAAGTTGTTTCTGCGTTTTGCCTACTTTGTACATGCTTTTTTGGTGAAGGAGCACTTCACTGTTTCTGTGTTGCTGCTATATGTTCCTTTTCTCCATACAAACATCTCTTTATTTTCATATATTTTTAATGAGGTCCTCTATATTTTTAATTATGCTGCAAGTTGCTGTATTTTAATTTTTTTTTTCCTACAGTATCTCTTCTTCAGACCTTGTCTCAAAGTGGATGGGTGAGAGTGAAAAGCTAGTTTCTAATCTTTTCCAAATGGCACGGGAAAGTGCTCCTTCAATTATATTCATTGATGAAATAGATTCCTTATGTGGTCAACGTGGAGAAGGCAATGAGAGTGAAGCTTCAAGACGTATCAAGACAGAACTTCTTGTGCAGATGCAGGTATATTTTTTCCCCTTTATTGGCAGGTGGGTGAAGAAGAATGTCATCATTTGTTTTGCTATGCTAATGGAAAACTCTCTGTAATTTACTATACAGTTAATTTTAACTTTTTCTAAATTCTTTGCTGTCTTCATAACATCAACTGTGTTGTTACCATGTTTCTGTGGGGAATTGAAATGGATGTCAAAGAGTCCAGTTTGGATAAGGTATTGATATTATTGATGCTGAAATAAGAGAGTTTGTAGATTCGGATTTAATTTAAATGAGATCTTATTTGTGAACCTGATCATCTTAGATTTACGATATTATGAAAAACAGCTGCCTCTTCTTGTCTTAGAATGCTTAATTGTGAGAGATGCCTTTTGAACTCCTGGTCATAATATTGCACGAGAGAGGGGGTCAAGACTCAAGAGTCAAAGCTTCAACTGGCTTGAACTTTGATTCACACATCCATGTGCACATGTAAAGTTGTAAACCATTATACATAATAGATTAAATTGGTAAACTTATTAGAAATCAAAAGTAAATAATTCTGATAAATACAAGCAAATTGAGAGATATACCTGATTAATAAAGGTTTAATTTTTTTCTGAAAAAAATATTATTTTGACTAGGGAAATAACGAAAGCATCAGATAACCTTAGATGTTAAAAGATAACATGGAGTCTTTTAGGGTATTGAGTGCACAAGATTACTTTGGAAGTTTTAAGTTCTAGACTCTAAGATTACATGCACATGCATTTTTTGTGATTTCAGCATCTCTGGTGCATATGTTTGAGCTCAAATGTTAGTTTTCTGTACCTATTGCCAAGTAGCTTCTTTCATTGTTTGGAAAGATATGGTGCAGCACTTATATTTTATTGTATATTGTGTCTAAACTCCATTCCACACTAGAACATCACCAATGCACTAGCTTTTGAGGGGGGAAAAGATAATATGATTTTTTGATTTTCATGGACTATCCTTTCCTGCAAGTGTTTGCAGAGGTTTATGTGAATGCAATCTCTTTGTAATTTTTAACCTTAATGTTATAATCATGTCTGCATGCATATGCTTGTTTCATCTAGCCCCTTTGTTTTTTCCACTCTTTCAACTAGGACTATCTCCTTCGTCCTCTTCAACTTAGAACATTGTTTTTGTATGCTACTGCCAGTTATATTTTCTTGAGATTTCTACCTACATTGTGGGCCAATAAGGATGAGAGGCTGGAGATGGCATGAGCTTCTTGCATTATTGGAAAAGATTTGCTGCAGAGCACTTAGCTTATAAAGTACATTATGTGGTGATTCCATTGCATGAAAGAAAATGACTGCTGTCCTGAATTCTTTAAATTAAATATAATATTCAATTTTGCCATGGTTATCCTGTGGTGAAAGTAACAACAGGGAATACCTGTATTTGTTTCACTTGTTCTTTGTTGCTGATAATATTGTCCTCAGTTTCCCACTCATGGTGCCTTTAGCTTGAGCTGAGTATCTAATTTGAGAAAATTTGGTGAAAGAGGTAGAATAGCTGTTATGAGGACCTAAGGGGACATTTGAAATAGGAATTACTACTCAGGAAGGCCTGATACTGCTCACAGCTTTCAAACTTCTTTAATGTTGCTAAATTTTTGGGTTAATTATAAATTTAGTGTCTCAACTTCTGAAAATTTTCTATTTTGGTGTCTCAACGGAAAACGTTTGCTATCAGGTGTTTAAACCTCGAAAATATTTGCGAAAGTTGAGACACTAAATTTATAGTTTGGTGAACGAGGTAGAGTAGTCACTGATATGAGGACCTAAAGAGACATTTGAAATAGGAATTACTACTCAGGAAGGACTGCTACTGTTCACAGCTTTCAAACTTCTTTAATGTTGCTGAAGTTTTTGCTGGTGATGCATATCTCCAAGTGTAATTTAATATATCAATGGAGGTTCAAATTCCTGGTAGCAATTATGCGGTCACTTTATTGATTTAATAAATTTACTTTAAAACAATGTGGTATTATTCTTGACCAAATTAATAAATTTACTGCATTGACCTAGATTATTGTCGATCATTCTAGATAACATGCAAGTTACTTTATTACAGTGTCTGTTTTGTATGCTCAAACAAATTGTAGAACCCTTTTTATAGCTCAAATGAATAAGGTTTGCTTCTGACTGTTGCTTCAGTTGATGTTATAGTTATGTTCTTATTGCTGCCAAGTTCCAATAGTTTTTTGTTCAAATTAAGTTTTTATATGTATGTTTTCTTTTTATTCATTGACTCCTGAATAGAGGGGATCAAATTAAAATTGGTCTAAGTTGCTTTCTTATACCTCTTTATATCTTGGGTTTTAGTTAGTCCATTGACTTGATACTGTTGATTTAAAGCTGTTTTAATTCTAATCTTGTTTTTCCTTGAATTCATGATGATGAATTTGACGAGTCTGACTGATAGATTGATGTATATTTTGCATATTTCCTTTTCGAGATCCAAGCCAACATTATTTCCTTTCTTCACATATATGTTAGGGTGTAGGAAACAATGACCAGAAAGTTCTTGTTCTTGCAGCAACCAATACACCATATGCCCTAGATCAGGTAATGACATTATAAAAAGATTGCTTTTGTTATGTGATTTCAGTCACTGGGACTATTTGGTAATTTTGCTAATCTTGGTGATTACAGGCCATCAGGCGGCGTTTTGACAAGCGCATATATATTCCTCTTCCAGATTTGAAAGCGCGTCAGCATATGTTCAAAGTATTAGCATTTGTTCTTGGAATTAGCTTTTTGTTCATCATTTATTTGGCGATGTGGCCATCTTTATTTTATTTTGCTGAGCCTCAAAGAATTCAACAGGTGCATCTCGGAGATACTCCTCACAACTTGACTGAAAGTGATTTTGAAGTATTAGCTCGCAGGACTGAGGGCTTTTCGGGTTCAGACATTGCTGTTTGTGTAAGCAAGATGCGACTTAAGATACTTCCAATTTATCAAATTTCTTATTTTCTAATTCTCTCTACGGAGAAATCTTAGGGACTAAGAAGGTTCACACGAGAGCTTTTTTGCTTATATTTTGACTTTGACAGGTCAAGGATGTCCTTTTTGAGCCGGTACGTAAAACCCAGGATGCCATGTTCTTTGTCAAGACTCCTAATGGTATGTGGGTACCATGTGGACCAAAGCAACCAGGTGCAGTCCAAATTACCATGCAGGAGCTGGCAGCACAAGGACTCGCATCCCAGGTAATGGGATTAGTGCCCCCTACCATCTAATATTTGCTGTCATTCTTCTCGATTATTTTTAGTAAAAGAAAGCTTGCTTTTATTTCTCCAACTTTCATAGTAAGAACATACACTTACGATGTTTAGAATGACAGAAGTGTATTTTCATCTTAGTATGCCTGATTATCTTTAACGTAATTGAATTCTTCATGAAGTTGATTAAATGTGTCTGCAGATCCTTCCCCCTCCCATCACAAAAACTGATTTTGACAAGGTCCTTGCAAGACAAAGGCCAACTGTGAGCAAAAGCGATCTTGAAGTTCATGAGAGATTCACGAAGGAGTTCGGAGAGGAAGGTTAATCAATATGGTGATAGGATTGACTCACGCTCTTGAGTTCAACTGCTATAATTTGTATTTTAATTTATTGCTGTTGGATCCAATGCTTTATCTTTACTTTTTCATAGGGGAAGCTGACTTCACTTTCCCTTTGTATTCGGAATCTGAGATGGAAATACTGAGTTGGATACTTGTTCAATTGCTTGTCTGAAATTGTGTAAAGAAGAGTTTTAGAAATATCATTGCCGAATGTTATATTACATCACTTGCCAGCACATTTCTTGTCCTGCCAATTAATTTTTTTTCTAACCAATTATCTAGTTTGCATTTTTTTTTTTTTTTGAGTTTCAGGTGTTCTGGAGTCATGCCTTTGTGCAAGTCCGGTTCTAGTATGGTTCTTAAGAGGAATCTGAACGGAACCAAAAATTTGGTTCCTTCATTTTTAGGAACCAGAACTGGAGCTGAAGGACTAAAGAAGTAGAATTGTACCGAACCAAATTTTCGGTACGGTTCTTCAGTTTTATGGTTCCTCGATTCGGTTTGTATCTCCCAGGAACTATGCACAACCCTAATGCATTAGTCTTTTCTTCTCCTTCTCTTTCTATGGATTCTCTTTCTCGTGTGTCAAGTGCACTCCATCCTCTGTAGGTTCTGTTAGTTGCAGCCTGGATTTTTAGTGTAGTACTTTCCCTGAAATCCATTAGTAAGGAATATTTAGCAACGCAGCAATTTCTGTGTAAGTTAGTGCTTAAGATTTGAATTCGACCCGTTGCCATGTTTAATGCAATTGTAGTGATTCTTTGTATGTTGAAGCGTACTTCTCTCTCTCTCTCTCTCTCTCTCTCTCTCTCTCCCCCATTTTATTCTTTTTCACCCAGGAAAAATGTTGAATGACTTTTTGATTGTTTTGTTACACAAATTCTTATTTCTATTGCATTTGATATTTGAATTCAGTCCTCTAGATTGTGAAGTATTCATAGACAATCAAATAGTCAACCAGAAGCTGTTGTACTTTCGGAAAATGAGACGATGGATTAGAATTTAGAACACATGATTGAAAATTTGAGAGGCAAAGAGGACATTCTTTGCTTTCCATGGCAGCGGTTTCTTTTTGTAAGACAATACAATGAATGAATACGAATGAAAATATAATAAAAAAAATGCAAGGCCAAATATGTAGTGTTTAAAAAACCAGACCGAACCAGCTGATCGGATCAATTAACTTCCGAACCAGCTGTTGGTTCGGTCTGATATGGTCTGGTTTTTGTGGTAAACCGAGCAACTGAAATTTTAAATAAAAATTTAAATTTTTTTTGCTATATAAATAGAATGGAACAAGTGATTAAGGTATACAAATAATTTTTAAAAAATTCATGAGTTCAATCCACAACTTTTTTTCTTTAAAAACTCATCTTGAAATTTATTAACTTTTTTTTTATAATAAATAAAAGGTCAAAAAATTATAAATAGATAGGTTTTTTTTTTTTTCAAAAACCAACTGTAATATGGTGTATCCAATTTTTTTAAAAAATAATTAATTTATAGTCAGTATTTATTTATTTACCATAAATTAATAAAATAATTGAAAAATATAATTAATTCTAAAATATCAAAATACATCGTAGGACACAAATGTTTTTATATTTTCTATAAATGATGAATGATTTAAAAATTATTACAATTTTAATTTATTATAACTTATATTTGATATGTATATTATTATGATGAATGTATAATATTTAGTTTAGATAACGAATAACATAAAAATTAGTAGTTATTATATTGATATTTGATGATGAATGGCTTGAAAATAATTATAGAGTTATAATTATAATAATAAATTGTTTTTTTATGGCCATATTTTATTATTTTTTATAAATAATTATAAAAAATAAACAATGAGATTGAATTTAGTTGATGGTCTAACGATGACCATGTCATTAAGCGGGTTCAACGTTTAAAAACATTGTAAATATATAAATTCACTCCTAAATTTTTTGTGAAAAAATTTTGCGGCACTTCAAATTTTATAGAGACCTATTGTGCCTCTAAAATTACAAAATTTGATAATATTGTACATCTCTTTGCATTAACAATAAACTTTTTTTAGAGTTTTTGATTTTTACTTATAAAATATTAAGATGATGTGTGGTTAGAATAATTTTTAGGATAGTAATTTTTATATTTTTAACTATTCAATGTAAAATAATTGGTACCTAAGATTCTAATACTTTAGATCTTTGAAGATTTGGATTCTCAGGCTGACTCAAGGCTCATGGTCCATGGTAATGTTACTTTCTCGATAATTTATTATAACTTAGATAAATTAAAGGTAATTTAATTTATTTACTCAATAATTTATTGTAATTTAGACAAATTGAATGATTTTCTTTAAAGGATGTGATAATTCAAATGTGATAAGTATTTAGGAACAAATGTAGCATTTGGAGTTTCTCTTTTAAAGACAAAAGGAAGGATGTTGTAGAAATAAAAGAAAACTCAAAGAAACGTTTCATTGGCAGAGAATGGGTCAGCTATTGCATTACCTAATTCCAAAAAACAGAGGAAAACTATGGTACAACCGTGCAAATCAATAGTTGATGAACAAATGTGCGTAGATGTGTTTCATAATTTTTATAGGTTTTTTTTTATCTTTTCAATAATTATTTTTTTTATCTTTTCAATATTCATATATATCTCTTTCAAAAAAAAAAAAAAAAAATCAATAGTTGATGACAAATGTGCGTAGATGTGTTTCAAATAATTTTTATAGGTTTTTTTTTATCTTTTCAATATTATTTTTTTTTATCTTTTCAATATTCATATATATCTCTTTCAAAAAAAAAAAAAAAAAAAAAACAGTCATACATATCTAACTTAATAAGTTTTAGATATTTAAATCTAGGTAATATACTCAAACTACAGTATCATTATTTTACTTTTCATTTTTCATTAATTCTTTTGTCAGTAAGCAATCACTATCCATCATATACAAAAGATAAAAATAAAAAAAATAATTTATTATTTATGAAATTCATAAATGTGATAAGTATTTGAAAATGGAGAGCGTAATGAAAGATGTACCTTCTAATTTTATAATTAAAAAGACATGATTATTTTTAAAACAAATATGTATAAAGTAAAACAAAAAGAAATTGAAATATATACAAAAAGAATAATAAAATAATTGTAATATGTATATCTCACGTAAGGACAAAGGTAAAACATGTTAAAGTGAGATACCATATATATATATACCATATACTATTAATATAATACTATATATATATTATATATATAATATATATATACAGACTACACATTAGTTTTATGAGAACTTGTAATAATTTCATTAAAGATATATATACAGACACACATAATGAGAACTTGTAATATTTCATTAAGAGATTGTAGAATCTAGATAGTTTATTACAATTAATATTAATAATTAAATCAAATTATTTTGTTTATCTTATACATAATTTTTATTTATTTCCTCTTGCTTTTGCTTTATGAAAATATGCATGCAACATTATATATATTGTAAATATGGGAGAAAATCCCACTCTCATTTCACTTCAGGATCTGTGATCAAAGATAACCATTACATACTTTCTTCAGTCACCGGAAGGCAAGGCTCCAATTTATATTTCTTCTTCTTCTTCATGTTAATTTGTTCTCATTTGCTCATTTTACATATTAATTTAATAGTAAATTATTATTTTTTCTGTATATTATACCTAAATATACTAGCTAGTCAGGATCGATGAATTATATAATTAAATTCTAAAAATAAGAAGTTTTTATTAATATATTTAATTATATAGGGGACTAAATAAATGTATGATTACACGAGCAAGCTCAAAGACTTGCAGGTACGTACATTGTGTTTCAAATTTCAATAAATGTATGATTTTGCAAAATTCTTCTTTTAATATAACTGAGTTTATTTGCAGAAAGCTATTTAGTAGTTTCTGTGTTTGAAAGTAGAAAAAATAAGCTTCACACTACACATTCATGGAAATTTCTTGGAGTAAACTCTCTTAGTGAATATTATAAACAAGTGCTTGTGGTCCCATCTACATCAAACATTATTGTTGGTGTCATTAATACAGGTAATTACATAGCGGACCCTAACTAGTTTGGGATTAAGGCTAATTAGTAATTCTTGTTGTAGGCTCCAACTTGGGTCGAACTCACAATCTCACAATTCTAGTAGGGATTATAGTATTGGTTAATTAATTAAGCTTCAATTGATTTTGCAGCAGTTTGGCCTGAGTCTCTTCAATGATAGAGGATTAGTGCTGGTGATTTTCTAGTAATGGAGAAGATGAAGATGAAGATGAAGAGAGAATACTTGGGTTTCATTACTTACTAAAAATCTGCAGTACATGCAAAATATATAGATGAGACTACAACTACTTGGGACCTTAGGGACAAGATTTAAAATCAAACTTGGGTCCAAAGCTAAAGCAAAAACATGATTACATCAGCAAAAACATAAAATATAAAATATAGTAAGTTGGAGTGTGTAGCAATTGTAGCAATTCAGCACTCCTCCTCAATACTTTTGCTAAATACTCCATGTAATGTTAATTATCCCTTTAATATGTAAGTTTTAATATTTTAATTTGTGTAGCTCTTGTGCATTTTCTTTTTGTTAATTATAGCTTGGGACTTTTAGATTTTACTCATAAACAACTTTCACTACGACTGGGCTAGTTCATTGTTCTTTCTTTTAGTTAGATTTTAGTTTCATAGACAAATGTGAATAACCTTTTAAGATAAGAGAAAAAATGTTACTATATGTAATGATATCTCACTTTTAACATTGCTATCTCAATAATTGTAGCATGCTTCTAAGAACTTCAAACTTAGCTTTAGAAACAACTTTTATGAGTATATCAGCAACTTGCTCTTCACTTCTGCAGTAAACTAAGGAAACTTCACCTGCTCTTTCAAATTCTCTTATAAAATGGTATTTCACTTGAATGTGCTTGGTCCTTTTATGGCTGATTGGGTTCTTGGCTATTGCAATGGCTGATTGATTCTCACACATAATCTCAGTAGCACCTTCTACCTACCACCCTATATCTTCCAAAATCTTCCCAAGCCAAATGGCTTGATTCACAGCAGCTGAGACTACAATATACTCGGCTTTTTCTGTAGATTAAGCCACCGTTTCTTGCTTCTTAAAGAGCCATGAAAACACACCTGAACCCAAAGTGAAAACATAACCCAAAGTGCTCTTCATGTCATCACGAA